AAAATGATTGAAAATCGATTATAATCATACACCTTTAATCGATTTTTAATCGATTGGGAATCGATTATAATCAAAAAGAATCCAAAAAACAAAATTTTCATCAATTACTCCTATTATTTTCGATTATAATCGGAGTAATAGATGAAAATTTTGCTTTTTGGATTCTTTTTGATTATAATCGATTAAAGGTGTATGATTATAATCGATTTTCAATCATTTTTCAATCGATTTTAATCTGATTTCTATCCTAAATTTTTTTATCTGGGTAGACGTTGATGTGCAGTAAAAAGCATTTTGTTAGTTCTCAGTATTAGATGTCACTATAGATTCACATATTTTCAACTACATTCTGTGATCACTGCATTAATGCCGTTGGTGCATAAAAAGAATATTATTTTTTGCTTGCACACCAATGTATTGATGTGAACATTTTTAAATCATTCGCTCTTTTCTAAAATACTATTACTGACTGTCATTGCTACCCATGTCACCCCGTGCGTTTTGGTGCGCGTAGGAACGTCACGTACGTACGCGCATGATGGCGCACGTATCGGTGCCCATACCCGTACGCGCACCGAGCGTTACGTTCCTCGCGCACCAAATGCGCACAACGTTACGTGCGCGCACCAAAACGCACGGAGTGACATGGGTAGGTTGATGCCGGGAAGGCTGAACTTACTATTACTTTTCTCAAGTTGTCATTATACTTGAGTAATTGTATCAACCTCTCATTGATTGAATTATTCAAGTATTTTTTAAACAGAGGATCCGATGACATTACTAGGACTTTCTGTCGAACGCTGAAAATTATCTCCAAATTCTTTTTCTCACAACTAAATAATAGTATAATATGGTTTCATTTTTAGAGAACTCGAGTAGCAGAAATTTGATTGCTCGTCTTTGATATTTTTTAATTTATGTATGATATTTATCTTTGTAGCGGGTGAATACGACTTCTTCAACACCTTCACACTAAAAAAATTCATGACCCATACAGTGATTTATTAAGCAAGTTTCTCGACAGAAAGTTCATATTTTATTTTTTATAACTAAAACATTCGTTGATCATTTTTCTTCGAAAACAGATATATGAGTTCTAGAAAATTGAGCACAGCGCTGTATGAATCATAAAAATCTGATAGTGCGAAAAATTTATATAGTAATTATAACTAAATCTTCAAGAATTTCAGTTGAATCAGAAAAGTCTACTTCACCTAAGTTATTCACTTACGAGCAGGAAGTCCTCTCCAATGAGTATTCAGTGGAAGGTGATCATTCTTCATGACCATTGTATAAGGATAAAGACGATTACCACCTGATAATATGCAGCCTGGCATTATTAATGAGCCACACATGAGAACACATGAATCTCCAATTTTGACAGGAGCTACTTTCCATATACGTTGTTCGTAACTATGACACTAAAGTGATCAGGCAGAATAAAAATGGATACATAAAAGGGAAAAACAAAAAAATTCAATTGTTACCATAATGTACGCTGGAAAATTCAGTCGCACATTGTCTCCAATAGAAATCATGTCGAAATCGCGAAGAGATGTGCAATCTGGTATCAGCACACTTGTACCAATCCTAGCACCGAGAAGACGAAATAAGCGAATTAGCCATTGCGTATTGCCCAGAAATGGACAAATGAGTATCTCATACTCTTGATGCACTTTGACCGTGAAATAGCTGATTGCTGAATAATTTAAATATGAGCGCCATCGATAGAGGACACAATAAAGTGCTGTATGCATTATCGAACCAACCAGTATGCCAGCTAGTGAGTAGATAGTTACCAAGGCGCAGTTGCTGCTCAAATGACAGAGACATTTGAACCACAGCGGAATAGCTTTGATTTCATCTATAGTTGAGTTTCTTGATGGCATATCGAAAGGCATGACACGAGCTGGAGCACCAATTAGAATGGATCCAGGGTGGCTATCGGTTTCTCTTGAGGTACGCGTTAAGTTGCCGATCATTGTGGCAGACTTGAGATCCGTTCCCGGTAAAACTGAACATCCGTTGCCAAGATTTATGTGAGCACCAAGTGTGATGTAGTCCATACGGCATTCACCTATCATTGTTATTTCAGTGGGAACCAGCAAAACGTAACCAAAAGCAGTAACACCTGTTTCAAATCTCAATAGATTCGTTGGATACGACAAAAAAGTATCGATCTCGGCAAGTTTGATGTTCGATCCTATCTGAGCTCCTAGCCAACGCAAAACAATGGGGAAAACGGGATCATAAGAATTGACCAGTGAGAGAGTATAATGGAAACTAGATACAATTAGTTGGCGAAGCCATATCTTGTGTAAATGTAACCATGAGTTGACAACACATTTTTCACCGGCAACAAAAGAACCAACAAGAAACTTTAGCAAGATAAGTACAAAACATAACCCAATAAATGACCACATCGTCCAGCAAATTGCAAAACTGATCGGGGCTGGTAGGTTCAAAGTTTGATAAATATGATAAATAAAAACTAAAAGTGTAAAATGTGAAAAACTCAGTAGTAAAAGCGAAATAATCTGGTAGATTGTCTGCCAACAAGAAAATGATCTATCTTTGCGCAATGCGAGAATATTGAACGAAGTCTTCATCTGTTTTTCACCATCGATAAGGGTTTCAGATTTGATATGGCCGGTAACAGGTGACATTGGTTGTACGATGATGTTGTCATCCATATCAACCCCATCATGCAACACACAACGAGTGCCAATCAAGCAATGACTACCAATATGGATTTTATGCAATTCAAAGACGTCATTTTCAAGGTAGGATAAACAGTTTAAAATGCTATGATCAGCGATCAAGGTATTCTTACCAATTCTGAGCACCCATGGCGCATCGATAGCTGTTGTATAAATATGTGTGCCGACATCAATATGAGCACCACATAAACGAAGATATGAATTGTAAAATGGAGTACCAAGTAAATGCCGCAGCCAAAACGTATTGTTTCTCCAAAGGCGATCTAAGAACCACCAACAATAAAAGCTCGAAGAGAAAATACGTCCAACATTTTCGATTCGCGATGACAATAAACGCAGCCAGATAGGGTAGGACATCAGATGAACAAATGGTACCACGAGCAACATCGAAGGATGGCAACGAACAGCTAGCATGATGGGAAGCAACCACTGGCACACCAAAACTGCAATGCCAAATGATTCTAAGAACAACGATGGACTCATTCGATCATGCACTCCTTGATCAAGTACTACTTTTACAGAAGTATTCTGTCTCTCTTTCTGCGACACCAATGGCTCCAAAATTTCGGCTAATTGACGAATAGACGGATTGCTCAGCAAAAGACCAATGTCAATTTCGTCGCATACTTTTTGGCGAATTATAGCAACAGCAACCATAACATCTATAGATGAAACACCAAACTCACCAAATTTACATTCTAGATCAGGTGAATCAACATGAAATGCCTGACTGAAAATTTCTTGCAGTTGCTTCTCTAAAACACTTCGAGGCACACAATCGCCACAATTACTTCTCGCTGGCATTAAATTCGGCGATGGAAGGCGCTTCCGATCTAGTTTCCCGTTGGCATTCAAAGGGAACTCATCAAGCACAACGTACAACGATGGAACCATGAATGGCGGTAGTCGAGCAGCACAATGATCACGTAATGTGTCAACGCTAATATCAGCTCCTTGAACGTAAGCAACCAAATGATCATCGCCCCATTTAGTGACAACACACGCCGAGACATTTAGTTCTAACAAACATCGCTCGATTTCACCGAGTTCAATACGTTGTCCATGCAATTTCACTTGAAAATCTTTACGGCCGACATAATGTATTAGACCTTGATCATCCACCTTCACAATATCACCGGTTCGGTAGAACAAATTCCCGTCAATATCAATTAGCGCTTTAGCCGTCAAGTCATCACGACCTAGATAACCGGCAAATATACCAGAACCACCAATAAAGAGTTCACCCTCTTGATCAATAGGAACTGGCTGTGAGAATTTATCGAATACCACACAACAATAGTTTGGAATGGGTTTTCCAATAGGAACAGTATTGAAATCAAAACTTCCCAGCAGCTCGTAGTAACTGCAGTCAATTGTAGCCTCTGCGGGACCGTAGAAATTCCATATCCGAGTGCTCGCTGGTACGTTGCGTTTTAGAAGCGAAGCCATTTTCGACGGGAATGGTTCTCCTAAATAAGAAAACATTGGTAAGCGAAATTGAGCCTCATTTCGTGCTATCAACTCACCGCTCGAGCAAATATTTTTGATACTCGCTTCACCTAAAACATAGTCGGTCCCATTGTTGTATTGGAAAAACTGATTTAGTAGCGTTGGCACCGTCTGAATCATCGTAATTTGTTTCGACAACAAAATCAGCGCAAGGTAATCAAAATCCAGATTTCCTTTTGGATGCAACATTACTAGTGTGGCACCAACTATCAGTGTTCCTAAGATGTCTGATAAGTGAATGTCAAATGAGCAACGCGCCATCTGTATTACAATATCCGCGTCGTCGAATTTTCCGATGGAAACCAAAGCCCGGATGCATTCGACAAAGTTTCGATGTCGCACCATAGCCTAACAGTATGAAAGAGAGAGCCTTTCATTTTATCTGAATTATATTAAGAAGTAACTAACCGCTTTCGGTGTTCCGGTTGAACCACTAGTAAAGATGGTGTAGGCGATGGCTTCTGATGAAGCAGTCAGTTCCGACAGAATGTCTAATCTCCGTCTACTGTTGTTGTGATAAATGCTAAGTAGATCGTCAATACAGAGAAGAGGCACTCTGATTGCAAATTTGAGACCGGTCAACCAATGCACAAGCACCACTCGACAATTTGTTTCTCTCACGAGCATATGAAGGCGTTCTTCGGGGTCCCGAGGTGACAACGGACAGTAAACAGCACCACTCATTTCGATGCCCATGATGCCAATGACCTAAATGAATAGTAGTCAATCGAAATATGTCATGAAACCGTTCTTTTCTGTTACCATTGATATGCTTCGTTCTACGCATTGACACACAATGTCTCCAACCTTGACGTCGTATTCTTCTATCAAACACAGTGCCAGTCGTTGTGTATAGAAGAAAAGTTCATCATACGTAAGAGACTGTTCATCAAGCTCCACAGCGATTTTTTGTGCTTTAGTTGCAATCTGTTGGTAGAATAGTTGGTGAATAGTATCAATTGTATGTCGGCACTTATGTGGAGTGTTTGTAGTGATATTTTTGCTAGATGGAAGGTGCGAATTAGTCGTTGATGAGAGTATCACCGTTGTAGTGTTTGTTATTCCATTGAGGTCAAGATATATTTGTTTTTCATTAGGTAGTATAAGAGAGAGTTCATAGATGGGTGCGTGCAGCATAGTATTTATAAAGATTTGTCTAAGTAGCTGTTGAAAGCGCGATGATAATTCGTTCACTTGTTCTTGACTTGTGAATAAATCGGCAGAACACTCTAGAGTGAAATCTGTTTTCTGTAAGTTGTGATCGTGCGATACGGTGAGTCCTAGATCAAACAATGCCACTCCATTTCCATGTGACCAGTCTCGATCCGTATAGAGGGAAATTTCCGTATCGCTTGTAAGAGTTAGTTGTTTGTTGCTTTTGTGGTTGAGTGATGAAATTAAAGATTCATACTGAAAATGTATGGACGGCATTGAATGGCGTTCTCGTTGTTGATGCTGACCAATTATATACTGATATGGCAGATAAGAATGTTGAAGAACGTCAATAGTCAATTGGTGTACTTGTTGCAATAGATCACAAAATCCAGCATGTGGGTCAACAACGATGCGGTACGGTAGTAAATTGACAAACATTCCAATCATTTGTTTCATACTTTGCTCGTATCTATTCGCTGCTACCCCTGACACACAAGTCCGTTTCTCCTTGGGTTAACTTAAATAAGAAAATATAGTAGCATGTAAGAGCTAAGGAAAACATTGTAATATTATTCAACGAAGCCATCTGTGTCATCAGATTCACAACGCTCTGATCGAGAACGAACGTGCATGCATATCCGAGGCCAGAACGAGTAGTATCATTGATGTTTTTACTACGACCAATGCTTTGTAATGAATTCCAGTCGTAACCTTGCATTAAATGGGACCAGAAACGACGTGCCTTGTTCATTTTTGAATCTGCCTCCGTTTCGGCTAGCAGTTTGTGCTCATAAAGGCTAAAATCAATATACTGCGGCATAGGTGGCCTTAATAAAAAAAACTCTCACGATGTTGATACGCTTTAACAAAATCTTCGATAAATGGAGTCACAGAGCTGTTATCAAACACAATATGGTGAAAGGCGAAGACAATAGTATCATTTTGTTTTAAAAGACCTCCACCAGTATCATCACTTCTTTGCACTACATGACACCTTACTACAATACCCTTGTCAAGATTAAAATGCTTTGTGATAGATTCAGCCGTTAGTAGATGATCAAGCTGCTCTGGTGTGAATACTCCATTAGTATGTTCAAATGAATAAGATTGTTCGGAAAGAGGCTGAATATACTGATCTATTTGACCACTCTCTTCATTGAAGCGAATAGCAGTCCGCAAAATGGTATTTTGCTTCAACACAGACAGTAAGGCGGAACGAATATGTTCGATTGAGAGCGAGCCACGTTTTATGATGATGGGAATAATCAAATTGTACATAGCCAAATCCGAGTCCCGAAATGAGAACTGCTCATGTAGCCATAAACGTTGTTGGGCATACGAAGCGATCGCTTGCGTTTGACCTGAAATTTTAAACGTTGATGCCACCTGATGATTTTTTTTCGCTAGCAGAGCTCGTTGATTTACGAAGAAACTCATGATTAAGAATGAGTAAATCTTGCTTAGAAATTCGAGGGAAAGTTGTTTAATTATTAAATCTGTAACATACACAAAAAGTGAGTAAATTTTTCTTTCAATATTTTGCCGATTTCAGTGCATAAACCAAAATCTTCCAATGGAGTAGATAAAAAGAAATGAGTTTATGAAATTATGGTTTTGGTATTACATAGATGGATTCAATAAAAATTGAATAGTTACACACTTCTAAAATGATATTGCAAATATCACCGCTTTATCTAAGAATCTCACAAGAGATTTTTAACCCAACATTCCATGTTTTCAGTTTAACAACTGCTTTTATACTGGTTCAAATGGTTTATATTTCATATTTTTTTACGATCCTAGAGAACCTAATCTGGAATCTCTCAACATACGCTTTATAATAAGAAGCTTGTATTCTCGTGGAAACATTTATTCGCAATTTTATTTGATCTCTTCTTTATAATAGATTCTGTGAGAACTGAAAAAGAACTTGCCTGATTAAGATCTGATAAATGATTAGGTTTTTATTTCGCTCACTTTTAGTTTTGATGACGACAGCCCAGTGGGTTTGCATCTCATACAGCTGAACTTGACGAAAATACTTTGTGTACTTGTTTCCTTCTCTATCTACTGATTTTAGTCTTATTTATGTATAAAAAAGCACTAGTTACGATAAGATCTACTTCAGTTTGAAGAATTTCTCACCAAGCAACAAAGAACTCAATTGCAAAGCTAGTCTCACTGCAGAATCTTTTAAAGAATTCGCTGAACTTTTGAAAAATCCACAAGGTTCGTGTTATATATGTGTTTTTGATGTGAATTTTAAGCGAACAAATAGATCCACTATACAGTGAAATTCTTAAGGGAATTTATCAAATGGAGTCTTGATTCTCTAAAGGATTGTTTAATATTTGTCCCATCTAATTCAACTTCACCTTTCCCACTAATATTCACGTTCTGCAGTAATTTCTGATAATTATTAGAAACTATAGAATGTAATTCATTCATTTGCACGTTATCTTTACATTATTTTGAATGTAAAAAAACTTAATATGTCAACTGTCTTCAATCTCTAGAACTGATTTCTATTTTTACTTCTTTAAATACTGAACTAGATGGCAGGAAGCAAAAGAAAGAAAGTGAAAATGTTTCGAAATATTTTATGATTGTAGTTTTCTATACGGATATTTCAGATCGAGATGAATACTTCTAGCTAGAAAATGTTAGGCATGGAAGTTTCAGAGTATCAAGCAGCAGTAGCAGAATTCTGTCACTGCTGTGTTCTGTAGAGCGAATAGGATTCACAATCTTATACGCTCTACAGAACAATAACAGAACAACCTTTAATCTATCTCTTAAACAGAGTATATAAGTAACAGCCTACACTGTAAAAAAAAGGAATGCCGATATGAATTCCCACAGGATATCCTAGGAATGCCTATATGAATTCAGTGATGAATTTCTACTTTCTTGAAAACAAAATATTGATATTCAAGTTTGGGTTTTATGCAGTAAATTAAATCAAATTTCTATTGTTTGGAAAATCCAGCATTTTCCAAATAATAGAAATTCGATGAATGAATCATAAAAGTTTGAAAATGCTATAGCCTATTTAAAGTCGTTTTTCTACACAATAGATTTCAAAAAAATTTAGTGTAATGTTACAAACGCAGAACTAATCGCTCTACTAAATAAAATCTTGAAAATGGAGATATACTTTTAGAAACACCGAATTTAAAAATAAAGGAATGCCAACCAATATACAATCTACAAAGAGATAAAAAAGAAAATTAAAATAATAATAATAACAAAAAAGAAAACAAAATCTCTATAATCAAACATTGACTGATATAGATACTGTAATCCTTAAAAATTCAGATTAAATCTTAGTAGAAATCATGCTATATGCTGCTGTGAAAACTTTAATTCTTATTTCCAAATTATTTCATATAACCATAAAAAATTATACTATATATTTTTCTGATGATGGTAAGAGTTCTTGCCGAAAGCTCGAAATAAAATAAAATAAAATTTGAATTTAGTTAAAATTCTCATGTATTTTGTGGCAGTTATATACTGAATATTATCTTCAATACTTTCTACTGCTAATTCGGATGGTTATATGCCAGTTATTTGCCACAAGTATGGCGAAGTTATTTCTCTATCGATTAGACACTTAGAAAGAATAAGTATAAACATACAGAAATGTAAATGTGATTTGGAATTTTTAAGATTCTGCTTGTTCTATGATTAGAGGTGATACTTTCCTCTCCTTTCAGAAAGAAAGGAAATCTTTCTGATTTTCAACTTTCATTTCAAAAAAAGAAAGGAAAGGAAAGTTAAAAACCTTATTTTCTTTTCGTCTTGTAGAAGACAGAATTATGTTTCTTGTTCAGTTCCATTTAAAAAAATTAGGAAAAATCGAAAAGAAAGTCGAACGAAAGGAAAAAAGGAAAAGAAAGTTGTATTTATTTGTTTTTCAAGGATTTTGTTCTTGCTGATGGGAAAATTCTCTACAAGCTTACTCTTTCAAATTGACCCGTGTATTTCCACAGAAAAATAATTCAGTTCATGGTAGATCCATAGGCTAATTTTAATCTCTAATGAGAACAAAACATCGATACTAGTAAGGTACCAAAAATGGAAAATTAGAGTAGAATCGTTTTTTGTTTTTTTTATATATGGTTAGATAGAGTGTGTCGGGTTGATCAAGAATATATCTTTTAATCCTTTTGTCGAATGAGTTTTTAGTGGAAAATTTTCAATTTTTTGGGTGGCCTACGGTTTCTCAGAAGAAAATTATTCGATGACTGACGAATATTCAATTTTTTTCATTTGTTTTAAATTTAATACTGTTTGTTTTATATTCAGCATAAAAAAGGAATCTATTGTGACGGATTCCATCCATCACGACTCCTTCAAGAGTGCATGTACTCATTAATCACTCTTATCATTTAATCATTAGTTTACATTTGCTTCACTCTTCTCTTCTTCTTCACTGCTTATATTATTCGTATCAGCATTTGTTACCCGAAAAAGCATTCATTCTGAATAAAAAGGAGGGTCAGAACTTCAGACAAGCATCTTGTAATGCTATCTAGTTTTTTCTACAAGGAGGTGCAACTGAATTTCATGTTCCATTAAAACCACTAGAGGTTATACTTTAAAACGACGAATTGGGTTTTTCTAGATTTTAGTTTGTTGTTGAGAAAGTTCATTTTCATACAATTTTATGGCAGAATCGGTCTTTTCTTGACCTATATGCGGCTGATATCTCTGAATTTACCGTTCTCATAATGAAAAAATTCATATATTCGGAATCAACAGAAAAAACTATGTCAAATTAAAAGAATTTCAAATTTTTCTGAAAATTTTTGTTGCTTCCAAAATATTTCCCCTACACCCTACTCAGGGTTAAGTGGAAAAGTCACTATCTTCACAATGGTACTTTCAATATGTAAAGAAGGCTGCTGGTGAGCAGTGTGGATATAGATCCCAATAGGAAAGATTAAGTATTGAGTAATAATGTCGTTTTGAGCAAGTCGACTTTCCGACCCAACCCTGGGGGTACCAGGGCGAATGTTTTGAAGAAAACAAAAATTTTCAAAAATATTTGAAGCACCTAAATGTCAATTCCATTTTTTGTGCTGATTTCGAGTATATCCTTATTTGAGTAAAATACGAGAGTTGTAAATTTATAGATATCAACCACATATAGGTTAAGAAAAGACCGACTCGAACATAAAATTCGATAAAAATGAATTTTCTCAGCAACAAAGTAAAATATAGAAAAATCTAATTGGTCCTTTTAAAGTCCAAGCTCTAGTGGCTTTAATGAAGCATGAAATTCAGCTGTACCTCCTTGTAGAAAAAACTAGATAGTATTACAAGATGCTTGTCTGAAGTTCTCACTCTTCAGTCTTTTTGCGGGCAGACAGTCAGAATTTCTTCGGAGGCGGGGACGCCATACGAAGAAGACCCCTTTTGAAATGTGAAAATGCACAAGTCTGGTCCCCAGCCCCTAGATATTGGAATTTTTCCGGATGGGTGGATGTAATGATTATCAGAATCCGCCCTCTGGCTATGTCTCTGCCTTGTAGTACTTGAGTTATGATCATGTGATATCAGAATATCAGTTTTTTATGCTGAATATAAAACAAACGGTATTAAATTTAAAATAAATGAAAAAAGCTGTTAGCGCAATCCCTATGGGATTAAAATGTGAAACACGATGAAGCTCTTTTTCTGGAATCCGTTAACCACGGACTGCGATGGTCTGTAGAGCTTCTCTGCCACGGTCTGTATTATGATGTATGGAGTCTCTAGAGACCAGCACATACTGTGACAGAGAAATTAATGAATGAACCAATTATCTAACTAATTAGTTTCTCAGTATCGGTCTGGGAGGTAGAAGGGTCCACCTTTCTAGCATATATATTTCAACACTCCTTTCAGATCGTGTTTCACAAAAAAAAACACTTTCTCAATTATACCGGAAGGATCGGCTATATAAGCAATGCAAACGCCGATATCATACTCTGTAATTATATTGCTAAAATAAGTGGTGAAGCAAAGCACTATTATAACCATAATATGGTATCAACCGATTGAGAAAATTTAAAAGCGCCAATATCAGAAAGATTGACAACATCAGATTCATCATCGAGAAGATTCGAACAATTATAAGAGCAAAAACAAAAATCAAATGAAAGAATCGCGTCATACTAAGATTTGGTCTGTATATTACACCGCGAGTATGATGCAACAATGTCAAAAAAATGATGATATTATAGCGACAGAATGGAATTGAAGATTCATTAAAAGTTCAAGTTAGAGGTGCAATAGTTCAGCTCTAGTTCTGAGCGAAGGAATTGTTCGAAAGTTCATTTCGGTAGGAGCTGATTGTTTTCAATAGTTCCTTTCAAAAGAGCTGATCTGATCGCACAGCTCTCATTTCTGAACTGAACTTTTCCAACAGCTCGTTCCGAAAGAGCTGA